CAGACACAACTGTTACTGATGTAGTGTCTGGGACGTCAACGGGAGTTGTCGATATCGAGAAGGAGAGTGCTGCAGCCGCCTGCTGTGCTAGGGCAAGCGTCAATCCGTCGCAAGACAGCGAAACAGGCAGCTCATCAGCACGTATCAGCTTTTCCTTGTGCAAATGCCCGAGTCGATAGTTGTTGCGGCCTTCATTCTTCAGTATCTGCTCCATGACGTGCTGCAAAGTTAGGAAAGTCTTGTTGAGCGAGACAGCCGTAGACGCTTGAAACGATTGCAGCACCTCCTTGATCAGCTCGTCCGGTGTTCGGGGTATCGTCTTGGACTGAAGCGACTGAATGCTGGCGAAGAAGCCCAAGTCGAGGCAATTCAAATCAGGATTCTGAGCGGGCTGATTCACAAGCTTGATCGCCCAGCCGTCAGCGCATCCCGCCGCGGCTACCTCGAGATCGTCCGCCAGGACATGAGGACGCGCATTATCCTGCTGAATCTTTATCGGTAGGTGCTTCTGGTCTTGCGGCCACTTAGCTTTAATTGCTGGGATGACGTCATTAACCAGAATTCGACGCGATATATCCCGTGTTATCGACACAGGACGTGTCTCTTCAACACCAGCCGGACGATTGACACTCCGTCGCTGAGTAATGTACGTCTCCACAACCGGCCAAATGCTGACCTTACCGTCCCAACCACCGCGTGGACGTGCAACCGCACAGAGAAACATGACTTTGGTAATGTAACGCTTGCTTTGAACAGCCTGGACCGGAGGCTCTTCTGTAGGGCATCCATCTTTCCCTGTGAGCACGTACACGTGCTGGCCGATCTTCTTCACGTAGAACCACTTTTTATCGATGTGAACGACGTCGTGCATTGCGTCGAACTTGTAGGTTCCGTCAAGCTGAGGGATCACATGATCCATGCAGAACCGAAGCCGCCTGAGTCTATGCGAAGGCGTGAGCAGCGGGCGAGTTTGCATCAGCGCACGACGTAAGAAACCCTCCTTGATGAGCTGTTGCACGAGATACGAGCTTACGCCTGACCCCTCTTGTACAGCACGCTGGTTCTCACGATCATTCACTGCCACCTCGGCGAGACACTTGCACAGCTCCCCGCGGTCCTTCTTCTTTCGCCCCCGAGCGTGCTATCTCGACTTGACTACTGCAGCTACTCGCTCACCCATAGACCTAATGCCCTGCTCCCAAATACGAGAAACAGCACAGCGGTTTAGATCAAAATAGGCGGCGGTCCGCCCGAAATCCCCGTGCCTCAGCACCCCTCCATTGCTGTGAAGAAGCAGCATCTCCCGCACAGCTTGGCGCTCTTCGTCGGTCGCTTGTGATCTGCTCATTGCCGCTCCGGTTTGAAACTGGGGGGGAGAGGTCCAGCGGGAAGATTGAGCGGGAGATTCAAAATTCAAAAACTTTGCAAGGTATAAATTTTGAACAGGATGTAATTTGATTGGAAATGCTCATTATTTTCCGCACGGAGGTAGTACTTGAACTACAAGGATTTGTAGAAGATTTGCTGTAGTACCGTAGTTTATGAAAGGGGGCAAAATGCCCCCTTTGGTGGCCTAATTACTTGACCTTCTATACTATAATATACACAGGTCAAAAGTACCCGTTCGCGAAAGGGTTAAACCAGTCCCCAGTATCATAAAATGTTGTCACTATGGTCGTTTAAGACGAGCGTGTGTTTGCGTCGCCGAAACAAACCTGCACTATGCTTTTTAAGTGGGCCCAGCTCGAGCTCCTCAGCGGGCTCGCTTGGTTAGGAAATCGTTTTATTATACATTTTACAACATTTGGACTGGCTAAGGAATCAGAAATAAGAGTCAACACTTATGAGTTATAACTACGCGTACTGCAGTACTCAA